TTCCTGGCAAACTGTCTGTTAGACTTTCAGGTTACTATAGGGATCAGTGGGTTTTTTTTTTTTAGGTATGGGGATCAGTATTGGAGATGAGCAATGTCTGAGTGCTCTGTGGCAGTGAGAAGTGATTACCTATAAAGGCAAGAGAGAAAGGAGAGGAAAAAGAAAGAGATAAGTTGGGAGGGAAAAGGAGAAAGAATGGAAATAGGAAAGTGAGAGGGAGAGAAAAAGAGAAAGAAGGAAGAAAGACAAGAAAGAGGTAGAAAGTGACAGAAGCCAGGGATGGCCTCCCCTAATTTAATTGATACAAAGTATTTGTTATAAGGAAAGGATGCAGCAGTTTTCCAAAGCCTTTCTGCAATGAGGCAGTAATGGCTGATTGCCTGGGAGATTGGTGATGCTGGCAGTATGAAGGCAATGGGCCCTACTCCAACCTGGAAATCTGGGTCTTTTGAAAGACATTACTGAACAGCTCTAATCAGGGTGGTCAATTTGACTCCTATTTCTAGGGCCAGATGTATTTATTCTATTCCTTCCTGGCATATAATGAGCTGATGTTCAGTGCAGGATGGAAACCACACGTGCGTATGTCTCTCCTTTAAAGCCCTATTCAGATGTCATCTTCTCCATGAAACCTTTCTAAATCTCCCCAAGTCAATGACGACCTTTTCATCCTTGCCTGTCATATAGCACTTCAGATACAAAATATAATGTAATTTGTATGTATGTATGTATGTATGTATGTATGTATGTATATGGGTGTTTATCTTATTCCTCTGTTGTTATTCAGTCATTCAGTCATGTCAGACTCTTGCTAATTCCATGGACCACAGCAAGCTCAAAGTCTATTCAAGTTCATGTTCATTGCTCCCATATCTATTCATCTCATCTTCCGACATCCCCTTCTCTTTTTGCCTTCAATCTTTCCCAGTATCAAGGTTTTTTCCAATTGAGTTCCATCTTCTTATTATGTGGCCAAAGTATTTAAGCTTCAGCTTCAGTATTTGACATTCCAGTGAATAGCCTGAATTAATTTCTTCAAGTATTGATTGATTTTACCTCTTTGCTGTCTAAGGGACTCTCAAAAGTCTTCTCTAGCACCACAATTCAAAAGCATTGATTCCAACTCTCACAGCCATGCACTGCTACTGGAAAAGCCATAGCTTTGAGTATATGGACCTTTGTCAGCAGGGTGATGTCTCTGCTTTTTAGTATGTTGTTCAGATTTGCCACATATTTCTTTCCAAAGAGCACGTGTCTTTCAATTTCATGGCTGAAGTCACTGTCTGCAAGTGATCTTTGAGCCCAAGAATATAAAGTCTGATGCTACTTCCATTTCTTCTCCCTCTGTTTACCAGGAAGTGATAGAACCAGTTGCTAAGATATTAGTTGTTTTGTTGTTTTGTTTTGTTTTGTACTTCAATATTAAGCTTCAAGCCAGCTATTAGACTATCAACTTCATCAAGGCAGGGACTGACTTATCTCCTTTAGTGTCTTGCACCACTACGCTCTGCTAAGCAGATGCTGATTAAATCAAATAGAGGCAAAATGTCTAGAACACAAATAGACTCTCAACAAATTCTATTGACTGAGGAAGGTCTAAGAGAATGGATCCACGGAACATCTGCTCCTAGCTAGGGCTACATTCAAAGAATCCTAAAATCTTAGAGTCGAGAGGGAGCTTAGAGGCCATCTAATTCAATCCATACTTGAATAGGAATTCCTCCATGACCCTGGCAGCAAATGATCATCCAACTTCACCTCAAGGACCTAGAGAGGGGAGGGAATGTGGGAGACCTGCTATCTCCTGAGAAAGCCCCTTCCTCTTTTCGATAGGTCTAATTATCAGGATGTTTTTCATTATGTCATTTTATAATGCTACTAAGTGCAAAATGGAGGTAAAAAAGAATGGTATGCGAATTTCAAGGAGGGAGGTATATTACTTGTAGCACTGGGAATCAGAGAAGCCTTCATGGAGGAGGTGATGATGATGTGACACCTATGCTGGACCTTAAAGGAAGAAGATTTTCTTCAGATGTTGGGGAAGGTAGAGGATGGGAGGCTAGTTCTACGATATGGCCTGTGCAAATGCAAGGAGGTGAGTGAGCCAGATGAGATAGAATGGCGAATAATCTAGGGTAGCTGATTAAGGGAAGGTGTGATTAGAATGCTGCCCTTCAGCCAGCCGCCACCTTCCTCCAGAACTGAAGGTCCCACTTCTGTCACCCTGGGCTCTGCTTGATGAGTCTTATTTTGTTCAGTCCTAGGCCAACCATTTCACTTCCCAGCCATCTCCCTGCCTTGTACCCTAGCCCATCCTACCCCTTTGAACTTTAGCACTGGGAAGAGTAATCATATCAACTCTACCATTCTAGGTGAAGACTTATCAGTCAACTACTCTGCTTCAGTCAACCAACATTCACCCTGACTTCTCCGTCAATTTTTTTCCTTCCATCAATGTGTGGTCTTTCTCTATTGGAATATAAGCTCCTTGAGGGCAGGGCCTGTTTTTCTTAATTGTATTTTTATCCCCAGGGCTTAGCACAGTGTTTGGCAAATAGAAAGTGCTTGGTAGAGACTTTTTTATTCATTCATTTTCTTGGAAAAGTTGGCTGCAGCCAGATTAAGGTAGGTCTTCAATGACAATATTAGGAATTTGTATTTCATTTTGCATGCAATACTGAAAGTTTTTTAAGGAGATGTTGGACATGATCAAATCTGTACATTTGAAGGATTAGATAGGAGACAGATTGGTGGCAGAAAGACTAGTTAGGAAGCTTTGTAGTAGGCCATAAAGTGGTAATAAGGATCTAAATCAGGATGATGGCAAGTGTGAGTTGGGGGAGAGAGAGGTTAGAAGAGTAAGATAATGGGAGAGATATTGCAGAAGTCAAATGAAGAGAACTTTCCAATTGGTTGAGTGCAAGTGTATGAATAGATGTGTATGTCGAGGGATGGTGGTAGCAATGGGATTGGAGGAGGCTCTGCTTGACCAGGGGGACTGAAGAGTCAGAGATGGTTTCAAGGAAGGTTAAAGTTTAAAGGTGGGCTTTGAATAGGAATAGGGAAGTTAACAGGAGGGCCAGGTTTTGGAGTGAGGAGGGAGTTCCATTTTGGAAATGTTGAGTTTAAGATGGCATGTAGGGAATATTCCAAACGAAAATATATCACAGGTGAAAATAGGGAACGACTTCAGGGTCTAGGGTTATTTGATGGGATAGATTTTTTTTTTCCCCAAAGGGAGGGGAAAATGAGAGTCTTAATATAGTCACTGCAGATTATCGGGCAAGGAGGCAGTCAGGCAGCTTTTTGATAAGTGGATACTGAGAGAGGAATAGGTCAGGTCCAACGAGTGTACTGCAGAGACTCCACGGGAAATTGAAGACATCTGTTCTAACTTTTGAGGCAGGGATGTCTCATAATTGTCCACTGCTTCTGCTTTCCACATCTCCCTCCCCCGTGCATAAGAAAAAAGTATTCGAGGAGTGAGTACTGCCTGGCAAAGTCTTCGCTAGAAAAAGAGTGCAGCAGCATAGTGCAACACTCAACTTGGGCGGACTGTTGCGTAGCCAGGGAAATCCCTGCAACTGGGACAGAAGATGGATGTTTGGGGACACGTGGAAGGGTTGAGAAGGGCCAGGGTGTCTGTTCCACTCACGACCCGGAGCTTTTTTGTTATTTTCCTGGCTCCTGCCAAAGGGAGCAGCAGCTGGTGTTGAGGAGGAGGTGGGGGTGGGCAGAAGGCTGGAGGGAAACTGGAGTGGGCAGAGATGGGGAAAGACTCGCACGTGACAACGACTCCATACAGGGTTCTGGGCTGCGGTAGAGCATTACCATATGCCCATTCCAGGGTTGTCCCCCTTCTCTCTTCCTCATTCACCTCCTTGCACCCAGACAGCATTATGCCTGGGAATCTTGCTCTTTAGAAAGGTGAAGGAGTTACGTACGGCCCGGCAGGTTCAGGCCCTCCTCTTTGCCCCCTCGAACCTCTACTTCAATACTCTTAATGTCTATCTCTTCCAGCTCTCCCCCCCCACCAGCCTTCCCTCCCCCCACCCCCTCCTCATTATTTGACGTGCGCGCGGTTTTGGTGCAATGCGAATTATCTCCAGTCATTCAGTCTGGAGGGGTTTTGACAGCCGGGGAGAGAGGGGAACCGGCTCAGTTTGGGCTGTGGTGTCGAACGCCCACCTACACCTTCCCCACCATCACTTCCTCCTTCTCCTCCCATTGCTATAACAACGAACTACATACAGCCTGCAAGCCACAAAGTGATACTGATACAAGCCAAATAACCCGAAGCAGCAGCAGCAGCAACAGCAGCAGCAGCCCCAACCAAAGACCCGGGTGGAAGGGAAGGGGAGGGAAGCCGTGTGGGTGTGTGCGCGTGTGTGCCTATCTGTCACTCAGTCCCTGCCCGGCCCTTCGCCTCCCTCGCATAGCACACGCACTGTGCGTGCCCACCCTCTCCGCCTCCTGGGTGCCAACTTACAGGGCACTTAAGCGGGCGGACACTCGCTGCTCCTCCTTCTCTTTTCCCTGTGACTGAGAATAGAAACTCCCATCTCTTTTCAGCCGGTGTTTTCCCCCACAAAATAAAATCTTCCTACAGAACATCCCTTTTGGAGGGGCCCCTACCCAAGGCTTTGCAGAAGAAATGAAAACCAACAGGGTTTCCCCCTCGTGTCCCTGCGCCCTTTAGTCCCCATCTCCACTCTGAGGAGTATTGAAGTAGCCGGGACAGGAAGCTTGGAGCCCCTCCTGACCCGGGGAGACCTCGGTGGGGGGAAATTCTCACCTCTGGTTAGGACTATTGCAATTGGTGGGTTTTGTTTTATTTTGTTTTTTTGCTGGGGGGGGGGTGAGGAGGGCAGGGCAGGGCGTCTGAACCCAAGCGCTGTGGAGCAAAGACATTCCCGAAGGCAGCAAACCAGAGAGAGCGAGGGAGGGGAGAGTGGGAAGAAGGAGGGAGGGAACCAGCGAGTGAGCGAGGGAGGGAGAGAGGGAGGAGAAAAAGGAGGCAAGAAAAGTAGCTGAAAGTGGGGTCTGCAGCAGGCGGTAAGGGAGCCGTTTGAGCAGCGGCAGCGGAGACAGCAGCGGCGGCGGCAGGAAGTCTGTGCCAGAGAAGAGCAGAAATAAGAGACCCTGAGAGACCGAGGCAGAGAGAGTGAAAGAGGAAACTGCAGAAGAGGAAGCACCGCTGCAGTTGAAAGTCTCTTTCTGGTTCCCTCTCTGAGCATCTCCCTAGCACGCACGCACGCCGGCAGCAGCAGCGGCAGCGGGAGCAGGAGCAGGAGCGGCGGCCAGTGGTAGTGGTGGTGGTGGTGGTGGTGGTGGAGGTGGAGGGCTAGTCTGCTCTCCATCCATTCAGGACCTGCACATTTCACCTCCACGCTCGCTCTCCTCGAGCCCATCGCCTCCTCTCCCTCTTCATAGCCCTACGCACTGCCTCCTCCAGCCCCGCCGCACCACCCCCACTCTCCCCACCTCGGTAGTCCCTCCACTTCCCCCAGACACTCGGCTGCCATGGCCCGGGAGAACGGGGAGAGCAGCTCCTCCTGGAAAAAACAAGCCGAGGACATCAAGAAGATTTTCGAGTTCAAGGAGACCCTGGGAACGTAAGTAAGGGCTGGAAGGAGGGGGAAAGGGTGGAGGCGGCGGCCGTGGCCGTGCGTGCTGTGGCGGCTCCCGCTGCAACTGCACCGAGCTGGGATCGCAGTGTCCTCATTGTCCCACTCGAGGCTCTGCAGATTCTCCCTCCAACACCCAGACGTGTGTGGCCGTGCGTTCCCACCCAGGGCGGTGTTGTGTGCTCGTGGCTTTCAGAGAATAGCTCGCCCCAGAGGTTGATTCCCGCCCCCCCTTCCCCCTCCTAATTTCTATCCATCTCTGCGCCCAAGGCTGAATATGGTGAATATTTACATTATGCGTATGTTGAGTATTTACACTGTACCTATATCAATGGATATGTTGTCCAAAACACATCGAGTTCAAGAATGATACGATTTTGTAATATCACTCATTTAGATATACATGTGTATAGTATATGTTTACATGCACCTAACATAATTGACAAACACAACAGCTAGCTATTTATACAGCAAGTGCTGGGCGTGTTTAGACAGACCCATGTTTATATCATCAGATAATTCTGCTGTGTTCAGGGTCACATGTGGGTAGATCTTTTCCCCTGTGTGTGTGTGTGTGTGTGTGTGTGTGTGTGTGTGTGTGTGTGTGTATGTATATATGTATATATATATATTATAGTATGCAGAGACACTTGTTTATTTCAGTAGCTCCTAGCAGTGTCTGTCAGTTCAGTTTGACTGGTGGACACAGTTAAAGAAGAGCAGAAATAATTAGAAGACACTGGATGGGTTTTTCAGCATTTTGTGTAGTTTAATAGTTGTTAGTGCGTCTTTTACCTCTTAGCTAATTTTTTTGGGGGTGTAGTCAATGGAGTCAGATTAGTTGAGAGAGATAATAGCAAAGGGGAAACTACACAAAGTGCAAAAGGGCTCATATTAACAAAAGTTATCTTCTTCCCCCTTAAATTTCTACATGCATGTGTATGTATGAGTGTACCTATGTACCGCATGAATCTTGTTTGTTGTAGAAGTATGCATAGCTGTTAAGGGTGAAGAGAAAAGGGGGAGTCTGGAGCTGTCATATTTGATCAATCAGCTTGTTCTTTGCTGCCCTGTTCTCTTGGCAGTGCCAGGCTTTTGAACATGGCTTGCCTTCAGGTGTAGCCAGTGTCTACTGCAGCTACATAGATTTCTTCTTATTAGCAGGCGACAGTCTAAAGAGAAGTTGTGAGATGTGTTTATTTCAAGTACTTTGGATTCTAATTCCAGCAAATGCTTTGAGCACTAGAATTGTACCTTCCTCATGCTTTCTTCAGGGAAGGCTGTCCTAGGCATGTGGCAGTGAAGTGTGGTATGATAGAAGGAGCAGGCTTTGACCTGGTTTGAGCCCTGCCCCTCTCTGCCATTTATGGGTGGTGTGATTTTAAAAGAGTTATTTTAACCCTAAGAGACTTTGTTTTCTTTTCCTTTAAAATGGGGATAATAATAGTTGTCCTGTCTTAAAGTGCTAGAAAAATAAAATTAGATGATATAGGCATCTTAAAGCTCATAAAGCTTGAAACTGCACTAAACCTTCTTGGGACAACTTTTTTTTTTTCCTGTAAAACATTTCTTAAACTATATTGACTACATAAATACAAGACATGGTATTGACTATATAAATGCAAGACATGGCAATAATAATAATAATAATAGCAATTATGATTATTATCATTATTATTAGGCAAGGACATATTTCTGCTTTTAGGTCTACTTAAAAAACATGATAAAAGAACTTGGGCTTTAATCGAGAGAGGAGCATTTCGCTCTGAGTATAGCCAGTTAGTGGATTGGTTTGGTTAAAAAAAAAAACGAAAAACAAACTTTTGAAAAAACTTTTAAAGTTTATTCAGGTGCTCCTGTTCTCTCAGCTGCTCAGGTTACTGGGTAATACAAATCTTGCCACTGCTTGTCATCCTAGGTATGTGATTCTTGGGCTTCAAGAGGATGGATTTGGAAAAAAGGAAATCATAGTAGGAAGGTGGCATGTTTGCTTTTCCCAGTGTGATTTGTTTCCTAACTCACTCATCAAAACTGTAATTTCTATAGCTGGCTCTAATTTTCCCAGATAGGTTAATGTAGTTTCGCTTAGCTGACTTTTGTTTTGTAGGTGAACATATCTCCGTCTCTGCAATGGCTAAAAGCCGCTGAAGATCAACCCAGGTGTTTCACTGTTTCATCGAATGACTTCCTCTGTTGCTGCTGCTGCTATAGATCAGTTGCCCATGATGGACTCAAGTTCATATTTAGGAGCTAAAGAAAGCCAAAGAGCCCCTGTAAGAGCAACCTCTAGGACCCATCACATTTTGAGAAAGCTCTGTGCACAGATTTCCATTGTAGATGCTAAGGAATTGAGTTATTTAGAAAGAAAAAAATAGCAAGACTTTGAGAGGCATTGTAGTGTAGGGAATAGGGAGTTTGATTAAGAGTCAAGAAGACTTGTATTCAAATCCTACCTCAGACACTTTCTATCTGGGGAAACCTAAGCAAGTAACTTGACCTCTATGTCTTAGTTTCCTCTGTAAGGAGTTGGACTCAATGACTCCTTTAAGATTCCTTTCAACTCTCACTCAAGCTATGAGCCCATAATCATTTGGAAGAACATTTTTATCAAGTTCCTCTAAAGGGCTGGTATGCTGGAGGCATAGGTTTCAGATCTGCTTCTGTGCTATACCCTGAAGATGATAAGCACAATTAAAGAACAGAAGTCGATTAATGCCAATAATCCAGAAATTCTTGGACTTTCTAGAAGTGATTGGTTCCCAGTTCCCTCTGCAAGAAGCCCAAGCGGCCTTGGCCGGTGTCTAAATGTGGAAGCCGTATCCAGCTCATTCATGGCTGATTTTGAGCCTTGGCCCTCTTCTATTTGTAATGAAATCTAGCTAAGGGAAGTCTAGAAACTGCCATTAGGATCAGAATGCATTTTTCTTGTGCTCTGTAGTTTCTTTTTCTTTTCTTTTCTTTCTTCCTTTTTCTTGCTTTCTACCTTTTTTTTTTTTGCTCGCACTTTGACTGTTTCTGGAAGGGTTGAATGGCCATCATTTCTTGTCCCCTTTTGTCCCTTCTACATTTTTATGGAAAAGCACAGGTTAATGTGAAGGCAATTGCCTGACCTAAGTAATTTCAAGAAAAGATGAGAACTTGTCATTCTAAACTTTTGCAATCTGCTGTGTAGCTGACTGAGCCAGCTCATTTCTTTTGTGAAGCTGAGCACTGAGTGGCAGAGGCGAAAGGGGAGAGCTATCAAGTCTGTTTAGTTAAAGCGAGGTGCGTTTTAAGGAAGGGTAAACAGATAGGATTTGGTGGCATAAGATATATGTCACATAGAATTGGAACTGAAGGGAAAATAAAAACTGAATAAGATAAAGACAGTCTAGAAGAAAGGACTTAGAGCCCGTGATGGATTCTGGAATTTGTTGATGTTGTACCAGTGAGTTAGGACTTAGGATCAAATGCTTCACATCCTTTCATGTTTCAGTTTAGACTCCTTTAAAATGAGGATCATAACACTTAGCTACCTCAGGGAATAAGGTAGTGCTATTTGATTAATATTTGTTTATTAGCAGGATGTTTCTAGAGTCCTGAAAGCATATCAATATAATGTAACAGAAAGCTAGGAGTAGCATTCATTTTTGTATGTTTTTGCCAGATATGCTGTCCATCAGTCAGCTACAGAGATCTCTTAACAGCTTCTGAAAGAAGATTAGAATCTATTATTTGGAGGCATATGTGTATAAAAAGAAAAGACTGGTGTTTTGCCTAGTAAGAACTTATTCCTTAAAGTCAGAACCGTCATTCCAGTCTATAAAATTGATTACAGTCTATAACATGCACGAGACTAGAGAAGAAGGCATCAGTAATGGGCATATCCAAGACAATATTCTTCTGGAATTTAATATATATTTTCAGTTAGAAAATGATGGTTCCTAGAAATAGCATTACTTTTGCATTGCTATTTTAGTATAGACTCAAAAACAAATTAAGGAGACATAGTAATGAATATTTGGTTGGCTGGGCAATGCACTGTGGTGTGATAGGAGGTAGAGTACCCAGTACCCAGGTCTGGAAATGAGAGAAACCTGTGTTCTTCTCTTGGATGTGCAATGACTATATGTGACCACAGGTAAATCACATACCTGTCTTCTCTGGGCCTTAGGAAAAAAAATATATATGTATGTGTGTGTGTGTGTATATATATGCATATATACATATACATATACACATACACACACATATACATGAATTTGGCAATATTTTTAATAGCCAATTGCAGCATGAAATTGGCTTAGACTGGTCAGTTTTCTGTTTTGAATATGTTTATGTATTCTGCTAGTGGCAGAGTGAAACTGTCTATAAGACAATTAAACTTCATCCTTTTAATGTCACTAGCATTAGCTACTCTTTTTCAGTCAATGTATACCTGCTGAGTGATGCTATACATAAGAAAAGCAGAAATAGAAACTTTAGCATGGCAAGGGTTCTCTTACCCTGCTGGTATCATATTATCAGAAAAATTCTGAATACGTTCACTCTTTGAGGCCATATGTAATCGATTCATCTGTAAAACCAGTTGGGAAATTGCCTGAACCTGATTGGAGTGTGGAGTCGGGGAATTGGGGGGGTGGGGGGGGAAGGAAATACAAAGGAAATTAAAGTTTTTGGCAGATCTGGCAGTCTGCCTCAATGGTTATTTACCCTGGAACCATTCAGCATTTTAAGGTCATTGAGAGTCATTTGAAGTGTTATTTCAAGAAGAAAAAGGGTGTTGAGAGGGGTAGGGAAAGCCCTGTATTGCCATCAAAAGGAATTGCTCTCACAATCCCTTTTAGCTCTTCCAATTTTTCATTTTCTGCTTTTTTTGGGACATGATATGAATTGAACGATTTAATATGATTAAACAAGTGTTTACTGGATGCCTGTTATGCCTAGTTATTGTCTGATGGGTTTACACACACCTTAGCTATTTATGGACCTCTTAATTTTGAAGATGT